CTCCTCCAATCATGTCCAGTGCAGTTTTCAAAGCCCAGGGGTATCGGCCACAGTAATCAAGTATGTCGTAGCCCAGCTTCACTCCTGGCAGCAACGTGCTGTTATGATTGATTTCTTCCACCGCAAAAGCCATAGCATACATATATTTTAATGGCTCCAAATCTAAACTGAGACCACAAAAGACATATACAGTAGATATAAATGTTAGTGATGTCAAAAATAACATGATAATAATGAGTTAACAAGTTCCTCTTAATGTCGTCAATTTTTTTTTCGGATTAACACACACACATTCTGTGATTATGACCCTCAGCCTGCCCTGTAGTTTGGGAAATTTGGAAGTGATGCTACAGAAGAAATGAGCAGAAATGGATAAAGTAAAGGGCCTTCTGATGTTTAACCTCAAAGTCCTGCCACATGGGTCTCTAATCGGTCTCCTAGCTGTAGCAGACTGATTAATACTGTGGAGGACGAGGTTCTGCTTGAAATAATTTGCATCACATCCAAAGGCTGCACATAGGAATTGCCTTCAAGAACCACCCCTGCAACCAAGATACACAAATTGCATGAAGATGAAAAAGCTAAAGTGGAGGACACACTGGAACAGACAAATACACGTGCATTCACTGGAAATTACTGGGCTTCTCTCAGTACTCACAGTTACCTCAGGGTCCCTTCACAGTACATTTAGAGTCAGTGGTGGAAGAAGTACTCAGATCTTTTACTTTGGTAAAAGTAGCAATACAACAGTGTAAAAATACTCTGTTACAGGTAAATGTCCTGCATTCAAAATGTTACTTAAATAAAAGTAAAAAAGAATTTGCATCAAAACATACTTAAAGTACTAAAAGAACTCAATATGCAGAATGGCACATTTCACATTCACATTGTGTATCACATCATTGTATTACAATTACTGATGCATTATTGCGTACGTCACATTTAATGTTGCAGCTGGTAAAAGGGTGGGGGACTAGTTTAACTGGCTTATATGCATTTAATTTGAATTACAGCAGTGAGGTCTGATAATTATAATGTATTTTATAATTATACTGCATTTTTTGTATTCATCTGGTTGTGAAAACTAACTAGTAAGTAAAGTTATAAAATAAATGTAGTGGAATAAAAAGTACAATATTTGACTAAAATGTAGTAAAGTCAAAGTATGAAGTAACAGATACTGAAAATTCTCAAGTAAAGCTGCAAGGAAGAAAAAGTGCTGACACAAGTACATGACACAAAATGATTCCTCTCTATAGTGATAGTAGAAAAACAACTAGTGCTAGAAGGTGATCAGCCTGTATGAACATACCTCAAAATTGTATGTAAGTACAATACTTAAGTAAGTCTACTTAGTTACAGTCCACCACTGCTTAGAACAAATTTAAAACAAAAATGCGTGATTATTTGAAACTAATCGCGAGTTAGCCATGGACAATTGTGCGATTAATTGCGATTAAATATTTGAATCGATTGGCTACACTAATAAATATATATCACTTCTGACTAAACGACAGATGCCTAGAATGTTGAACAATTCAGCAGCAGAACAAATACAGTATGCTAAATATATGATCATACAGTTGAACCTACACCTCTCTAAAACTATGTAAATTAAAAAAGACATTATAATCTTCATAATGGGAGAATTTATTGCAGGACTGTTACTGATTTTTTTTTTATTTTAATAAGAATGACAACAAACACAATATATTAGAAATGCAGACAATGTGTTACTATAATATGAACAATATTAAATCACCAGACATCTTGTATCAACAACATAGTGCATGTTGTAATTACCCAGTGCAAGGTTCATAATGTGGAGGCTTGGTGAAGCCGTGGTCTAAAGCTGAAGGTATGTAATGTAGGTTAAAAAGTCCACCAATAATCACATCTCCATCCTGAGTGAGGCTCTTATTACTTGGTGCACCCCACTGAGAACACACTGTCGCCTGAACCACCTTCAGGTCCGTCTGTTTGCCCACTACACTGAGAAGCAGCAGAGAGAGGGCTGAGGAGGGCCACCGGGTCAAGAGCCAGGGCAACCAACACATGGATGCAGACATTCTGGACATGTAAAACATTTAGGTCACTGTTATCTGAATGTCAGAATGTATGAGCCAGAAGTCCAATAAATTCACTCAGAGTAAAACACAAATCCCATTAAAACCGTTTGATCAAACCTGACAACAGAGTGCAATACCTTCAGACAAATCAATAATGTATCTCGTTGTAAACGTTCAACAGCTCCTTACACCAAAGACAAATCACATTAAACTCCAGATGCCCAAATATAACATCATGGTTTCATGTCAGTTACCTGCACAAAGGAAAGACATTATAAAGACAAACATATTTCACTAGGTTTAAAATGTCCTGTCACAATGATTAAGTGTGAAAATGATATACTGACTAAAACGTTACCTCCTCCCAGTTCACACAAGTGAATTGCTGATGTGACTATTTATAACAGGTGTAAAGCTGCAAGGAAGAAAAAGTGCTGACACAAGTACATGACACAAAATGATTCCTCTCTATAGTGATAGTAGAAAAACAACTAGTGCTAGAAGGTGATCAGCCTGTATGAACGTAGCAGCAGTGTGTATGTCTGTACAGTAGGTTTGCTGCAGTTCAGCAGCTCTTAACCTGGAGGTCAGGAACCTCCCCACTGTGTCATGAGGGGGTTCACATGAAGGATGCTAAGATACGTTCATATGAAAAAAAACATGCAAACCCGTTTGTGTTTTTTCATGAGTATATAAATATTTCTTGGTACCAATGTCAAATAAAAACTCATTCTGAGACCAGCTCCTGATTGCACAAGTTATGTTGTTTGTGTAGTTGGGCTACAGAGACATGGAGTGATTTACAGTCTTTGTAATCATAAAATCCTAATATGCTGAGACTAAACATTTGGCAGGTGGGTGTAGGCATGTGCAGCTGTGTTTCTGGTTGTATGTTGTATTATTTTTTCTGTTCCAGAACCACACACACATTTTGTCTATTTCTGCAATGAACCCCAGAAAAGGAAACATCTCTGTCCTTGTCCATTCTGAGCAGTGACTCCTGGCTGCTAACATTTATCAACCAGTCAACATACACTCATATCCCCCCCAAAAAAGCATCCTTCACTCTTTTCCCTCACTGACAAAACTGAAGCATGGACCAGAAAATTATTGTGGTCCTAGACAAAACAACTTTGATGCTTTCTCATCAATGGATGATTTTGAGAACAAGAACAATATAGCAAAAGTTGACTTGTGGGACATTGTCAGGGTTCATCTCAGTGGAATGTGAATTCAGTTTTGTATTTCCCTCAAAAGCTGGTACAGAGCACATACAGTCATTTCAAATGCTTTTGCAGTGACAAAGTTGACAGGAATGGCATTTAAAGTGTAGGAGAAAGCTACTGATGTCTGGAAGTGATACGTTTCAGGAGCAGATGTTTGTGGAGAAGCCTGAATATTGGGTATCAGTAAACTGAGATCTCAATGACAACACAATAAAAAAATGTCTCCCATACACATCAACCTGCGTCCTGAGATGCGACAAGTGCAGGCTAGAGTGCCTTGGCTTCTTGTCCAGCCTACCTACTGCACCTGCTGCAAAAGGTGGTTTTACCCCAAGGCTGTCTGAAGTCAGCTGAATGTTCTCTCTCTGTGGAGCTGTCCTGGCTTTGCCAAAGCACCCCCAACATCTCCAAAGCACAGTGACAGTCATCTTACCTGCATCTTGACAAAACATGGCAAATGGTAACTGATGCAGCCTAAGAAAACAAACCTTTATATATTACATGTTTGGACATCTACCTCTGCAATCTCTGTGGCACCATCATTATTATCATGACATCAACAAAGTGAATCAGCTTCAGTGAAAGCAATAGCATTGATACCCGGACTGGTCAGTCATCTCGTCTGAAGGTCAAAGCAGCCTATATTAACATCAGTTCATATTTAATTCATTTTATAAATCTGAGCAGCAACCTCTTCATGAGGTAGCAGGGAACCATTTCAGGCTGACTCTGCACTGAGTGAGTAATGTAAAGACTACACTCACAGAAGAAATGACAGAAATCAACCAGATGGTTGCAGAATAATACTCAGCATGACCTAGTTGGTCTAAAACACAAGTAAAGTAGGCCAAGTACACTTCTCCACCATCATCTGCCTCTTTGATGGGACCAGGTGTAATATGTTTGTGAGTGACTAGTGTGGGTGCTAAGTATCCACTCTGGTCCTCATATACATTTTTTCTAAGCTCTGAGGGAAATTTGTTAAGTCTGTGAAAATAACTGCCCTGATTTCCCCTTTTTTTATTTCCGGTGTCTCTCTAAGTATGACCAAATAAAAATTTCTGGGACTTCAAGGCCGCTAAAAAAAACTATATATTCATAACCGACTTAGTAATTTTACTTCAAATTTTACTTTTGACTTGTATTTAAATGAACAGTAGGGATAGAATAAGATGTTGTACAGCTGCACAAGCTAATTGCAGACATACATACAAAGTTCAACAAGAAGTAAACCTTGCAGAGAGGAGCAGGAGGAAGAATCCAGGCATTAAATGGTATAAAAGTTCCATCTAGTGGTTGTTTTTCAGCATATCCAGTCTGAGCAAAACAGTAATGTCCATATTTTCAGCCCTTCTTTTTTCAACTTAGAACAAATGGCAGCATATTTTAATGGTTCTCTCACTGATGTGATTTTGCCATCTACATTAACTAATGTGAGTTAGTCTGAGGCTCCAGCATTTTAATACCAGTTAAACACATTTGAACAAGGTAAAAACAAAACATATTACACCGACCCTTTGTTGAAGGACTGAATCTTTATTATTAACTTTGAATCAATGCACATTTATAGTTTAATAAAAAAATAGCATATTATGGTTCACAAGCTGTACT